TGGGCTGTCTCAGAATGTCTCGCTGGAAGAAGTTCAACGATGATGATGTGCCGGACGACTTCGTGTTGCCTGCCGGTGAGCTATAGGGTTTAGGGTTTAGGGTTTAGGGTTTAGGGTTTACGGCCTAGGGTTTTCACAAGGAAGCCTTCCCGCGGCCTCCTGCTGTTCAAAAAGTGTGTCTTCAGCCTTCAATCTTGAGGTTTAAGGGTTTAGGGTTTAGGGTTTAGGGTTTAGGGTTTAGGGTTTAGGGTTTTGCAGGCGACCCTGTTCGCGGCCGTTTGTTATTTAAGAAGCACTGCGCGCAGTGCCACGTGATAGAGAAGGACGAGGCGGTGAAGACTGGCTGCACTTTGGTGAATTTTTTTTAAATTTTTTTAATTTTTTTTTAATTTTTTTTTAATTTTTTCAATTTTTTTTGAAACTTTTTGGATTTTTCTGCAGCTTTTTGCACCCTTTTTGTCCCCTTTTTGTCTCCTCTGCATTTCCGCTTTTGTTTTCCTTTTTCAGTTTCTTTTTGGCGCTTTCTCGCCTCTTTTTTGGCTCTTTTTGGCTTTTTTTTTCAAACTTTTTGAATCTTTTTAGATTCTTTTTTGTCTCTTTTTGCCTCCTTTGCGTCTCTCTTTTTGTGTTTTTTGTTTATTTCCTTCTTGTACTTTTTAATTTCATTTTTTGTCTTTTTTTGTCTTTTTTCGTTTTTCTTTTTTTCCTTTTTTTGTCTTTTTTGATTCATTTTTTGTCCTTTTTGCTCTTTTCGTCTGTCTTCTCTTTCATCTCTTTTTACCTTTTTTGTCCTTTTTTCGTTTTCTTTTATTTCTTCTTGTTTATCTTTTTTTGCATCTTTTTGTCTATTTTAAATATCTCCTTTTATTATCTTTTTCTCTTTTTTTTTCTTTTTATCTTTCATAATTATCTCTTTTCTTCTTTTCCCTCGTCTCTTTGACTCCTCTTTGTCTTTAGTACTCTCTTATTTTCTGAATCCTTTTTATTTCTTTTGTATGCGGCAGGGTTTAGGGCTTAGGGTTTAGGGTTTAGGGTTTAGGGTTTAGGGTTTAGGGTTTGCGCCGCAGCTGGGGCCCAGCCTCTACGGGGTCTACGGACGCACGGCGGGGTCAGGGCCTCGAACTTCTTTAATGGATTCTTCTCAAGCCATTAAGGACTCCGGCATAGTTTGGACAGGTTAGGGTTTAGGGTTTAGGGTTTAGGGTTTAGGGTTTAGGGTTTAGGGTTTGGGGTTTAGGGTTTAGGGCTTGGGCTGTGAGCTTTGGGGTTTAGCGTTTGGGGTTAAGGGGTTGGGCTTTGGGTTTTAGCGTCTAGGTTTTAGGGCTTGGGCTTTGGGCTTTGGGGTTTAGGGTTTAGGGTTTAGGGTTTAGGGTTTAGGGTTTGCGGGGCTGGTGTCTGCTGCAGATATTACACTAATGCGCTACCTCAAAAACCCCCGACAATTTACGCAGCATCCTCTCAGCATGAATTTCAGGGGCCTGGACAACTGGCAGGTGAGGGTTTAGGGTTTAGGGTTTAGGGTTTAGGGTTTAGGGTTTGGGGTTTGGAATTTAGACACATTTCTTGTGCCCTGTTTACATTCACCCAATCCTTTTTCTGTGGCAGCTGTATCTCTCTGTCTGTGCGCCCCAGCTTGCTGTTTAGGGTTTAGAGTTTAGGGTTTAGGGTTTAGGGTTTAGGGTTTAGGGTTTATCTTCAGGACCGCGTGGACTTGATATGGTACATAAAGGCTGCCTGCGAAGACAAAGCAAAAGAGCTGAAGGAGGGGCTCTCTTCAGTGCGCTTGAAGCTGCAGCAGCAGCCAAAGCAGCAGCAGCAGCAGCAGCAGCAGCAGCAGCAGCAGCAGCAGCAGCTGCACCCTGCGGGGGGAGCAGCAACAGCCACGGGGGGCCCCATGGGGGGCCCCACAGGAAACCCTCATGGGGGGGGCCCCCCTGAAAGGGTTTCAGAAGCTTGAGAGGGTTTGCAGAAGTTGACTTTAACAATGCAGCAGATGCTGCAGCAGCAGCTGCTGCTGCTGCTGCAGCTGCTGCAGCTGCTACAGTTGTTGCTGCTGAAGCTAAAGACCAAAGAGTTGTAAATCCGTGAAATGCTGTTGAGGCAGCTGCAGGAGCAGCAACGCAGCAGCAGCAGCTGCGCTCGCAGCAGCAGCAGCAGCAATAACTACTAACTGCAGCCGCAGCAGCAGCAGCAGGAACAATAACTGCAGCAGCAGCAGCAGCAGCAACAGCAGCCCTTTGACGTGCTTATGAAGAGCCCTGCGTTGCTGCCATTTTATTCGAGAAGATATGCCAAACGGCAGCACAGCAGCAGCAGCAGCAGCAGCCGTCGCAGCAGCAGCAGCAGCAACTTGCTGTGAGAGCAGCAACTGCAGCAGCTGCAGCAGCAGCAGCAGGAGCTGCTGCTGCTGCTGCTGCTCTGTCTGCGACACTTTTGCCACTAGAAAACTTGGGGCCCTTTGAACTTATTGAAAATCCAGCGGCCCTAAACCCTAATCTAA